CTACCTTTTCTTTTGTCTTTACGTGCGCTCTCTCTCTCTCTCTCTCTCTCTCCCCCCCCCCCCCTCTTCCTCCCTTGTCTCGTTGTATTGGCCACACAGAATATGGTGACCGTTACCGCCTTGCCACCGTAACAGCTAATTGGAGTCATTTCCCCGGATTTTTCTCCCCTTTGCACACAAAAGTGTTTTTTTGAAGTTGTTTTTAAACGCCTTTTGTCTTGTTTTTTAACTCGTAGAGGCCGTGCCGTGCCTTTGTTTTTATTTCTTTTCAGGATAGAGATGAAACCATTTTTTTTTCTTCGTCCTTGTCGTTCACGAGAGGGGGTGGGGTGGGGTGGGGTGGGAGGTAGAGAGGTCTCCTGTGCAGATACGGGAGCGTTGTGTGCGTCCCCTCTCCTATCTACTGTGCGCAGAGGCACGTGCACGGAACGATGATGATGATACTAATAATAAACACCTGTGTATCGGGAAGGAGATGATGTGTGTAGCGCGCAAGACACATACATGTAAAAGATATTTAAAAAATAAAAAAAAAGATTGCTAGGCGCCTGTAATTCTACAGATCACGTGCTCCTTTACAGCTGAGAGGGGCATTTTCCTATCACAGCAAGCCCTTGTTGCAAGACTTGCTCAACAAGTGACAACTTTCTTGACTCCACTAGCGGAATAAAATCATATGCCCGAAGTATATCCCCGAGGTCAGACAAGATGTTGACGGCGTACCGTAAACAACCGGCGGCAAGATACACGTTAAATATGGTCTCCCGCTTCTTTTTGGTAATCGTCTGCATGTATCCACGAGCGCAGCAGTACTTGTCCAGTATCCATCCTGGTGTGGGGAACAGTGACCGCATTTTCATTGTCATATCGCAAATGCCCATCGGACGCGGAAGTAGTGTTACAAGAGCTAAACTCGCCACGTCAACCAACGGATCACCTGTGGAGACGGAGGTAAAATTCATAACCCCAACAATATTCGCTGGGTACTTGTGCCTGCCTTCAAAAGAGCGGTAAGAGAAAAGAAGATCTCGCAACTTGAAGTCACCGTGTATCAACACAAGCTGCTCCGGAAACGGGATTGACTGATTTCCCAGCTGTGTTTCGTCAAAGCAGTCCAGCAGCGCCTTTGATAAGTGCTCCAGTGTCTTCGACTGAAGTACATATGAGCCATCCAGCAGTTTCGCAGTGCCCACCACCGCCCTGTACTGCACCACCAAGTCCTTTATAATACCCATTAAGGGGTGAATGGAGCTGCCCGTAGTACCGCTGCTAGGGGCTCGTTCCGCTCTTGTCTGTGACAAGAAGCGTGGGGGTGGCATCGCATGAATTTTAGATAGCATCTCCACCGCCTTCATAAAGAAAATATAAGGGTTGAGCTCAACGTTGATGTGCTGGCGACGCGCCGAATAAGGGCGTTGAATTCGAGGTTGAATGAGCTTCCGCATGTCAGTGATGGCCTCACCCTCAACAAAGCGGCGCAGCGAGAATCGATAGCCACACACTGCACAGGAATCACAGTACAATAGACACTTTGCAATGGGAAGATTGGAATTTTTGTAGAGGTACCGCAACATTTCATACTCCGCACGGATGTCAAGAGTGTCATGCGGCATAGGGCCACGGGGTTGCAAACGCAGCACGTAACTGCCAGTGCGAAGGGTGATGCGGTACGTCTTGAAAAAACCTATTCCCCGCATAGGCTCAAAAACAATGGGACCACAAGAGGTGGCAAAGCCTGGATTTTTAGCAAGCTTCAAATTCTCCGTGTGTGTGCTAGGGATCTCAAGCGGAAATAACTGTGGCAGGTACTGTGCGCAGTAAAAGAGGATGGCGTCCTTATCATCCTCGTCAAGAAACTTTTTGGGATCAAACAATCCACGTGGTTCACAAGCATCGCAGGGCGGTGGGGGCAAAAATAGCAGATTGGAGTTGTAGTCATGCATCTCCTCATTGATCCATGAGGTTGGATTTCCATTTGCGTCGCGTGGTGGCTTGAAAAGCGGCGACACGTCCTTTTTTACCCCCGCCGCCACATCAGCCCAAAAAGGATCGAGTTCACCCACCATACTCAGTGCACTCAGCACGTCCTCGTACACGTCATACGCCCCATTCTCAATGTAGTAGACCTTTTCAAAGGGGTTATCCGAAAGATTGCGGGCGGTCTCGCAGTTCTCAAGGGTGTCATCAAACAAGAAGATGTGTGGCTTCACGTCATACTTAAGGGACTCTTTAGATATCATACGACTTTTCATCGTCGTCTCAATGGCGTGGTAAAAAATGTCGGGAAACGGCTTCCGTTTGTGAAATGTGTAACTCTGCACAAAAGAATCAAAAAGACCATTTATGACAAACGAAGACCTTCCACCGCCTGTACCATAGTCAATCGGGCATGTTGTGGGAAAGTTTGACCACTTCATATCGCTCGTGCTATGTGACATCGCTTTACTCATACGTGCGTACTGCCCCTCCACCTCCCATGTGTTTGTCACCACCACAAGGCGAATCTCCTGCTGACTTTTCATACGTAAATAGTGCAGAAGATTCAACACATTGCGTCGGGGAGACACCTTCTCGATTGTGCACAAATACGCCTCGGGGTCCATCAGCTCCCGCAGCAACTCCTGCACCAGTGGGTCAGCAAGGAGTGGGTGGCGATTCCGTATGGGCGCCACACGTGCGGGATGCATAATCTGCATGCACTCTAGCTCCTCCACGTTTTTCTTAGCGAGTGCTTTCAACATAATGTCCATCTCCGCGTAGTACAAAGGGACAAACTGTACACGGTTAATCTCACCCAGTTCCAGTTGCTCGAAGGCGCACCTGGTGCCCCGCACCTTCTCCGTAAATACGCGGATGAGAGAGAAGAGGTTGGAGTAGTTGTGTGCCAGCAGTGCGGGGGATTCGTTGCCCACAAACTCAACATGATGCGCCTCCGCACGCTCAAAGACGCACCGCATCAACGTCTCTGCGAGACGTCGCATCGCCGAGTATGGGGATGTCGTCAGAACCCCCGCGACGCCAAACATCAAAATAACCTCCGCAGGCATTTTTTACCCTCTTTTTTTTTGTCTTTTGTTTTTTTTTCGTTTTTCTGATTTTTATTCTTTTTTTTGTGTGTGTGTGTTTGTTCTCTGAAGCAAATAACGCTTTGTTGTGGACGTTTTCCTGCTATCACTCACTCCACCCGCCAAGAGAAGACGAAGGAGACAGCAAACCCAAGAGAAAACATCCCACATACACACACACACACGGCAAAAGCCGAGAGTCCACAAAGGAGGAGATCGCTTATTTGAGGGAATAAATGTAGCAAGGTGCAAAATATGAGGCCAAATGAGGCGTCAACCACAACAACAGCAATGATGACATTTAAAGAAGAACAACACCAAACTAGTTGCTTGCAAGCTTTAGCAGAACGTCATCACAGCATGTTTGCTCGTTTGTCTCTCCAACACACACTTTTGTGCTCCAAGTAACAAGGCAGACAGCGCCTTGTCATCACCTGCAGCACTATGTGCCAGATCCCAAGCGGCAGCTTCATTTATGAGATCTTCAGCTGCAACACACTCACCCAGGACAACATGCAACAGCCGTGCAAGCAGCTCTACAGAATCAAAGTCCAGTGGAGATGCACACTGTGAATAAAAGGTTGTCCTCCGTGCGAAGGCGCCTTTGCCGGGAGATCTACATCGAGTTCGTAGTGAAAGTAAGGCACGCGCACACGTTGAGGACAAAGGAACGTTGGTCCCGTCAAAGTACCGTTGGCAGGCATCGTACCACAGTGCCAGCGGCATGGCACCGCTGTACTGCCCAAATGCCAAAAGCTCTTCCCATGTGCCTGGAGAGTTGTGTCCACGGGTGTAGTGTCCACTCAACGCAGCCGCACGCACAGAAGCAAGCAACTGATGCACGGCGGTTCCATAAAGTCGCTTCCACTCTCGAAGAGTCAATTCAGGACAAGACGCTGGTGGAGCAAGGCTACATAACAAGAATAGCAGACGACACAAGACGGCTTGATTGTTGCATGTAGAAAACTGCAAACGAGAGAGCAAAAGAACCACGTGGAGATGTCGCTCAACCGCCCCTGTATCAACGGCCAAGACTCCACCTTCCATCATTTCGCACACAAACGTGGAAGTGTCGCTTAAACCAAGATCGTAGTTTGGCGCATGCGACAGCATCACCAAGAGCGCATCGACAGCGTCCACCACCTTTAACCGTGTAACCGGAGAGGCACGAGCTGTCTGTCGCAGGAGAGCTATACCAGCACACGTGGCGTGCGACACCTCATCCGCCGCGATTACAGGGTTCTTCACACCACTTGGTGGGTCGCATGGGTCCAATACTACTGGACAGGGAATATATCTCTTTCTGATTGACTCATCTATATTAAAGGCGACACGCCGCGCCGAGCTACCCAAAAGAAAAATCCGCATCGAGTGACGAAGTGAAGGCGCCACAACATTCTTAAGCGTTGCAAGAATCCCTTCCCCCACCTTTAGTGTCAGCAGCGCAGCACGCTGAAGAGACGATTCTTCTATCATGCAGGAAGAACGCGCCATGCTGCGCAAAAGGGCAACCATATGCTGCGCGTCAAGTAATTCAGTACCGTCATCTGTAATCATGCGTTCCGCTAGTGCAGTCATTGTTCGATCCATCACCTTTTGTTCCAGCTGTTCGACAACTGTAGCAAGAGCGTGGCACGCTTCGCTTTTACTCTCCCGTAATTTTTGGCCTCGCCGGGTAAAGGGATGTGTTACCAAATCAAACAGCTCCACCCACCCTTCCAGGATGAGCTCCACGTTGTGCTTTGCATTAATATGCTCCACAGCGTGCAGTAGAGGTTTGTCAAGCGCATCACGCATGGTGACGATGCCGTCATAAAGACGATCCCCTGCATGAGTCTGCCCCTCAGTCAAAGCCTCTAAAAGCGGCTGAGCTCCCTGAAGTAGCAGAAACCATGAATACAGCAACGCGTCAAATGTCATTGTTTCGTCCACAACTGCCAGACGGGCACGTTCAAACACACACCGCAGCAACTCCCTGTACTCCTGTTGTAGACGCTCCACTTTTGCTAATGGCGTGTCAAGATGCCTCGGAGCTGTAAGAAGGACATGTAAGACATTCAAGCGTTCCATCTGAGCTTGCAAAGGAACAGCTGTGTGTTCAGTTTCCTGAATGGAATAAAAATAATCCAAATCCTCCGTGCATTTCTTCAATTCCTCCGGTTCCTTAGTTGGTTCAATGGCAGACGCTGCCTCAATTTCCCGCTCCTCCAAGACCCGCAGCCGGTCGACGAGGGACAACTTCCTCTTTACCTTCATCTTTTCCTCCAGTGGGCGGCTCCAGCTCGACGGGTCGTATGTGAAATGCTGATGTGGCCGAAATGTATGCTTTTCATGCCACACAAATGCGTTTTGGCGGTCCTGAATCTCCTCGTCACGTGTGCGGTCAGGGCTGAGTTTGCGCCTCAGCAGACGCACAGGAACCGTTAGGGCGGTGGGCGCCCACTGCGCACGACGACGCGTGAGGCACCTGATTGTCATTTTTTCCCGCCCCTAGCCCTTTCCTTGGGGCAGAAGGTAAAAAAAAAAAGGTGGAAGAACGGCCGGAAGGCATACGCAACAAAAACCACAAAAACGAGAGTCAAAAAGAACGGTCGCTTGCGTGTATTTGAAGAGGTGGCAGCATCAGCGGCAGCGGCTCCCGCGGTTTTGTTGTCAGATAGAAACATGCGCACGCCACGGTTGATGTTCGATAAAGAGTAATACAAAACGCATTATTATTATTATTTGTTTATTTATTTATTTTCGTTGTTAAAGAGAGGCATACAAAGAAAAAAAGGGGAAAAAAAACAAGTAGAAAACACGATATAAAACAACTATAAAAATAACAACAAACACAAATTAATAATAATAATAGACATAACTATGCCTTTACATAAGCACTAAAATATAACGACATACATCAAGTTTGAGGAGGAAATAAGCACCATCATACACGCTCAAGACTTCGCCACTCATTTAAAAGTTCCTTCATTTTGTGCTCAAATTCACTTATAAGCCGGGAACAGTCATCATCTAGCTTAGCCAAAGGAGACGCGGATGCCAAACTGTTGTTATACGGAAGCGGCGACACAACCTCCCTCAAGAGATAATTCCCTTCGTACATTTCTGTGCCTTCCGCTAACGGTGTCGTATTGGCGGCCTCCAGATGCGTCGCCTCAAGTGGCGGTGACAAACTGTTGTAGCGTTGCTGCGACCCCTCAAATATCTCCACGCTCCGTTTGTTAATGCGGGGAACAAATGTGCACTCCTCTTGGCGCTTCTCGAGGAGTTCTCGCTCGACCTCCCCCAATTTCTGTCGTCGCCGCGCCAGGCAAGCCTCCTCTCTTGAAAGAAACATTTCTAACTTCAGTTTAGACATTTTTTCAGGCGGTGTCAAAGGCTGTGGTGCAATCTCTTCCCGTTTTTCCTCACATTTTTTTTCGCCTTTCAACCATTTTACGTGAGAGCCTGCATATCTCAGGTGTGAAGGAGTGTTCTTCTTTTGTGCGTTCCTCCAGTTTGCCGCGACGCTCCCGCTGTTCCTGTGCTTTTATGTAAAGCATTTCCGCCGCCTTGGAAGCGCTGCGAGTGCGCTGCTCTCCACTCCGCCCCCTTGCCGCCCCCGCCTTCCATGGAAAAGATGGTGCAAAGTATGGCTTCCCTGTGAAGCTATCGCTGAGTTCGTTTTGTCGGCACTTCATTGTCAGCTCGTGCAGTCGTTGTCGCCGCTCTACTTCCTTCAAATAGAGGCGCTCGCCAATGTCTCCTTCAGTTTTCTCCGAATGCCGGGCATTCACGTTAATGTTGGGTCGAAACATATGCGTTGGAATGGACAAATTCCCGGCAAATCGAAGGGCGTATCGAGCAAAGTGCGCCTCCCATCCACGTATCGGGCCTTCGTGTCCAGCCTGCTCTGCCATGTGTTGAGAAACCTCGTTGATCACAGGAGGCTTAATCCGTCTCAGCTTGGCCATCTCCGCCACTTCCCGCAACTGTCGAACATGCTCCTCCTTTTTATCCAACCATCGCTGCTGTCGCTCAGCAAAGTCCTTCTTACAGCTGCGTGTGCTCCCCCTTCCCGCGGCAAGGCGCTGCTGATCGAATAGGGCTTTCGCCACCCGATTTGCAGTGAACTTTTCAAATGTCTTCAGTCGTCTTGCCTCTTGTTGCAGACCCTTTTCATAGAGACGTTCCCACGGTGTCGGTTGCTGCTGCTGCTGCTGCTCCTTCTTTTCATCTTCCTCTTCCCCTCCCTCCTGCCGTAACTCCTCCACCTCCACACTTTTTGCCTCCTCGTCGTCCACTTGTCGATTCGCGGTCAGCAAATCCGAAGTGGGTGTAGGCAGAGCCGACGCATCATGCGCAACGCCTGTCGAAGACATGCCACTTTTCCCTTCGCATACATAGTTAATCATCATTCATCCATCTATGCGCGCGCACGCACACAAGGAAGGCAAGAAGAAAAAAAAAAGAAAGTAAAACAGCAGGACCTTCGCCATCTCACAAAAGGCAAGATAGCGGAGAGAAAAACACATGACAAGAGCGTCGTTTCAACCCATGCCTCCAGAGAGAGAACGACCCCGGGAGTCGCGATTTGACCCACACCACCAGCTTGATGCATTAATGTCACGGCAGTTTGAGTGATGGGAGAAAAACTTTTCTCTCGTTCTCCCTTTCACACATATGCAGAAGATATATATATATAAATATGCATACAATAAAAGAAAAAAAAAGTCTCACGTTACCTCCATCCTTTCCCAAGAAAGATAACGTAGTCCCCTCACAGGTTCCAAGAGGGTGGAAGTTCATGTCTGCTTCACTCCTATTTTCCCGCCTAAACAAACAAAAACAAAAACAACTACTCCTACTGCCGTTTGAGGGCCTTCATTGTTGCACCTGCCTGGCACATTGAGGTCACCCTATAACACCCACAATGCACATCGGCTCTTCCATTATCTAATGTTCCACCCGCACTATTATTATTTTCTACGTCTCCTCCCGCAAAACGGTAAAGCGACAAAATCAAATAATGTTTACACCTTAATCCTTGCCTTTACAATCTCTCATCT